GATTGGATCAAGTTATGCTGCAGTAACAACCTAAAACTCTCAGAGGCTCACAACAACAAATGTTTATTTATCACTCATATTCCACGTCCTCTATGGCACAGCTGTGGTTCTGTTCTATGCCATTCTTATTCCTGAATCCAGTTTGGTCTTGCTCTGTCACCGAGGCCGGAGTGCAGTGCCACAATCACAGCTTACTGCAACCTCAAATTCCTGGGCTCAAACAATCCTCCTGCCTCAGTCTCCTGAATAGCTGGGACTATAGGCACACACCACCTCGCCTGGATAATTTTTAAAACTTTTTTTTTTTTTTTTAGAGATGGGGTCTCACTGTGTTGCCCAGGCTGGTCTTGAACTCCTGGACTCAAGCGATCCTCCTGCTTCAGTCTCCCAAAGTGCTGGGATTACAAGCATGAGCCACCACTCACAGCCCAACCTGGAACTTTCAATCTCCAGATATAGAAGACAGGAGAGGTGGCAGATCCCACGATGGCTCTTAAAACTTCTGCTTGGAAGTGGCACATGTCATCTCCACTCAAATTCCATTGGTTAATGCAAGCCACATAACCAAACCTGATATCACTGGACTGGGGATATATAATCTTTCCATATGGGAGAGCCCCATATGGAGGGCCAATCAATGATTTCAAACAATTATAAAATCTCCCCCAGTCTGCCCTTTTCATCACAGATATTGCCTTTGCATGTCTTCCACCTGAAAAAAAAATGTATCCCCTTCCCAAGGGAGACCACCCAAATGATCCATCTAATGATAGCATCAGCCTCAAGTCCAGGATCTCTAATAGTCTCTGTAACAGGTCCAGATATAGCTTGTCTTGATCCAGAGACCTATGAACAGAGAGAGAAAGACAGAGAAAAGAGGAGAAGAAGAAAGAAGGAAAAAGGAAGAAGGAAGAAGAAGGAGGAGAAGAAAAAGAAGGAGAAGAGAGGAGAGAGGGAGGGAGAAGAGGGGGAGAGAAGGAGGGGAGAGACAGGGAGAGGGAGAATGATGGGAAGAGAGAGTGGCTATCTTTGCCCCACTCCTCAACACACACATTCAACATACAAAGTAGAACAAGGACAGGAAAACAGTAGTGCACATTCCCGTTCCGAAGAAAGAAAGGGAGACATGCGGCAGTTTCTGGTCCCTAGTAATTCTAAAGTCCTGTTGTGCAGATGCTGAGGAGGACCCCCACCTTTCCCTAGGAGTGGGACTGCTTCCTGAGAATGGCTCCATAGTTCATAGTCCTTGGCTCAGCCCTTCGAGTGGACTATCCTTTCCATCTATTCTCCTTGGCCACATTTGAGAGAACACCGGACGTTATGCCTTGCTGAGGTAGAGTAGCTTTCTCAGTCTCCTTCATGCCCACAGAAATCTGGGGACTCGGAGGCCATATTAAACACTCACAGTCAAAATCCAAGCTGGTGGCTTTTGGCCAGGGGTGGGGGTGGGGGAGCAGTGCATTTCTCTTTAAAACATAGCTTTTTGACTATTTTATTCCAGTCAGATCCATGGGTCAACAGCCACACCCATAATTCTTTTCAGATATGCCTCTCGTGCCTCTTTTTAGACTTAATTGTAGGCAGATTGAGCCTTCTAACTCACTCTTCATCTCTTCTCTCTGAATCATCTTGACTAACTGAAAGGATTTTTGGGGAACCACTTTGACCAGTTTAGAACAAAAGGCACAACAGCCACACACTTGATGTGGCCCTTGCCACAAAGCTGAGTTTTAATCAGACTTCGTTGCTTAAGAGCCTCCTCAATTGTACCTTTCACTGGTTAAAAATGTTGATCACTGGGCCAGGCGCAGTGGCTCACGCCTGTAATCCTAGCACTCTGGGAGGCCAAGGCGGGTGGATCGCTCAATGTCAGGAGTTCGAGACCAGCCTAAGCAAGAGCGAGACCTCCATCTCTACTAAAAATAGAAAGAAATTATCTGGATAACTAAAAATATATAGAAAAAATTAGCCGGGCATGGTGGTGCATGCCTGTAGTCCCAGCTACTCGGGAGGCTGAGGCAGTAGGATTGCTTGAGTCCAGGAGTTTGAGGTTGCTGTGAGCTAGGCTGACGCCACGGCACTCACTCTAGCCTGGGCAAAAGAGTGAGACTCTGTCTCAAAAAAAAAAAAAAAAAAGAAAAATGTTGATCACTTGCCTGGAGTTTCTATATTCTCTTCCATTTCTGCTTAAAAACTGACCAATTATTTTCTGAGTCATCCCTTTCTTCTAGTAACTTGTCAAATGCACCATTAGCAGCCAAGTCATGCTATGAATGTTCTCTTTCCCCACTTTTTTTGCCTAGAGGCCCCAGCTCATTTGGTTATTATTAGAGTCAGTTATTCCCAGCTTACAGCTTAACCAAATGCTTCCCCACTGCAGAACACAAGTTGCCACCTTTCCAACTTCCAAGGATAGTTTCCTCCCCAGCCACTGTTCAGCTCAAAGCCCATGTTACAAAGTTGAGGCTTATTTTCTATTGTAGCAATGGCCCACTTCTGGGTACTAATTCTGTAACTGTTTAAAGTAATTATGATGTGGTAACAACCAACCTACATGTATCAATGGCTCAGGGCAAAAGAGATTTATTTCTTACATCATGTATCATTTGACAGGTGGGTGACAGCCTAGCCTCATGTCATTTTCATTCTGGGTTCCAGGCTGAAAGAGAAGTCTAGATCTGGAAATTGCCAGGCTTGTGGCAGAGGGAAAAGGGAAGGGAAGCTGCCAGTCTACTCGATGGTGCTTAAACCTGTATGAAAGTGGTATTTTATATATCTGCTCACATTCCATTGGCCAAAGCAAGTCCTATAGCCAAGCCTTTTGTAGCAGGGCATGAGTGTATAATGCTCCCACAGTGAGGGGCCTAGTAGAGAAGGGCGGTCAATATCAGCAACAAACATACAATCTGCCACAGAGATGTCAATCCCTGAGCTCATCCACTCCTCCCTTCACCATATACACATGCTCTGCTGCAGTGTTTTGTACCACATAAGGCCGGTTTCCCTTGGGAAGGGGCACACACAGGGGAGCCTGTGAAATCTCCAGAGCATGAGTTCACTTGTCTGCTTGCCTACCAGGTCTGCTCCAAATTTGTTACTCACCTGATCAAAAATCTTCCATGGGTGCCGATAGCCCACAGGAAAAATTCCAACTATTGAGCCTGGCACCTGAGGCCCCACCTGGCCATCTAGCCACCTCTTCCAGGAGATTCTAGACAGCTTCCTGGGTGAGACAGGTGAGCTGCCATGCAGGGGTGGCACATGGACATCAGCTGCACAGATGTGGCATAGTCGATTCTGAAAGTCTCTATCAGATCCTGGTAGGTGTCAGGGATATTGCGATTTCACTGTGAAGGCAGAGGTGAGAGAAGGGATAAAGGCAGCCAGCAGGACGGGATTCTGCTGGAGGAGCAGGCTGCAGGGTACGAGACAGACAATCAGGGAAACCCAGAGACCCTGAGTCCACATCAGTCTTGTCCTGGGGCAGGATCCGCCTGGCCCTGCAGCTTCCCGATCGGGTGGACAACTAGATTGTGAGAACGTGGAACTCTTTCCTATAAGGTCCCTGACGCACTGCCGTTGCCAGTTCCTCCGCACGCAAGGCGTCTTTGGAGGTTTGAGCATGCCCCTTGAGTCCTGTAATCCAACCACTTTTGGGTGCGTCTGCGACTCGCTGAGGCCCCGCCCATATCAGCTTCCTAGACGTAAGTGCTGTTTGAGGCAGAACGCCCTACAGACCAATCCCGTTGCTCTTCAGAGACAACATTTAGGTCCTCGGCCAATCGTTTTCCAGGTGCAACCAAGCCACGCCCATACACTGCTCACCGAGCTGCAGGCGCTCCAGGGCCACTCCAGCACTCCAGGGCCACGGCAGGGGCGCGGCAGGCTGCCGTCCAAGCCTCAGATGGAGGCAGAGCAGAAGGTGACCGGGTCCCACCCTCCTGCCCTGCCTCTAGCCCAGGTCTAGGGGCCCATCCACCATGCACCACGGATATCCAGTCCAGCCCTTCCTCGACTCATGTCACCCCAGCACCCACGCGTGTGCGGCACGGGGCGGCAGGGAGGGCTGGGCAGCCAGGAGCAGCCGTGGTGGCAGCAAAAGCAGGATCAGCAAGGGCCTGTGGGACCGAAAGTGGGACGGGGCTGGGCGGCTGGAACGTGGCTCCCAGACCTTGGGGTCGGAGCCAGGCGCCACCCTACTCCAACCAGGCTTCGCATCCAGGAGCTGGGTTACCCTCTGAAATCAAGTGTCAGGGGACTTGAGCCACATCCCACTCCAGAAATTCAGCATCAGGACTAGGAACACTTAGAAATTTAGTCAGTGCTTGGAGCTCAGGTGCCTTATAGAAAAAAACAGGGGTCAGTTCCTCTGCAACCTCCTTCAGCCAGATAAGCCCTTAGAAACGAGGCGTGCAGATCTGGGTCCCTGGCTCACTATCCGGACACTTATATATAAAAGGCAATGGCTTTTTCTGGTCTCGGGGCCTGGCCTGCTGGTCCCTCTGCCTGGCAACCTCTTCCCCTGCTCCTTCCCACAACTGGCTTCTCCTCACTTAGCATTCCACTCAAATAAATGTCACCCTTTCTGAGACCAGACCTTCCCTGTCCACTGTATCCAAAGCGACAGCCTCAATTAATGACTTTTCCATGGTGTCCCTTCCTCTTGGCCTCAGGAATGCCCACTGATGCCCGCTCACACACCACCCAACCCGTGTCCCGGCCTGGCTTGGTCAGCCTCATTTCTTCAGGGATAGGTACTCACAGTAGTCTTTCTCCAGTGGCAGAACTGAGCCAAGAGCCAGATGTGGGTATCACCCCTCCCCCCATCCTGTGGGAGAGTAGAAGGACAGAGCTAACCTGATGTGGGCACACATCTAGGGCAGTCTGACCCAGCCTGACTGGGCAGGGCCTGGCCCCAGGGATGGCCAAGAGGTGGGAGGCTGGATACTGGAGGTCCTGGGCCAGCCTTTCCAGGAAAACAAATGCACAGGGGTGTCCAACTCTTTTTTTTTTAATTTTTTACAAAACCACATGTCCCAGCCAAACAGGACGCTGCAGGCCCTCCCCTAGACATTATGGCCTGAAGGGGGAGGCCCCCATGAATGAGCAGCTGCCAACCCCAGAAGAACCGTCTGCCCCTCTGCACAGGGGCCAGTGTGAGGAAGGGGATCCAGCTGGAGGCTCTGCCCTGCCCCCCACAGCTGCTGGGAGAGAAGGCCAGGCCCTGGGTCCCTGGTGCTCCCAGTGCCTACAAGGGAAGGAGGGAGAAGAGGGTCTGAGGGGAGGAGGAAAGGCTGGGGCCAGGGGTGGGGCACCCAGGGCAGACCCATAGTATCTCACCAAGAATGTGCGACATTATCCAACCAGTGTGCTGATGGCAATGATGACCGCCAAGATGACGACAGTGACGGACACGCAGATGGCAATCATGACTTTCTTCTGTGGGAGAGGAGGAGTCAGGGAAAATCCCTCAGGGCCACCCGGGGCTGAGGCCAGACCGGGAGGCTCACCTTCCTCGCCTTCTTCTGGTTCTCCAGGGCTATCTTGACGTGTTCCTGCCCGCGCTCCACGTAGTCCGCTGAGCTCAGGATGTTCTTCTCAATCCGGTTGATCATCTCCCCCTACAGAGGACGGGGTGGTTTGCGGAGGTAGGGATGCCTCGGGGTCGGGGGGTCCAGCAGCAGCTTTGCCCACCCAGCCCCAAATGACTGAAAGACACTACAGGCAGGGAAAAAAAACCACTGCATTAACAGAGACAGAGGTAGGACCAGATCTGACACAAGTTCAGACTCCCAAGGATGGCTTCCAGCCCCCTCCTATCTCATAGTCCCTTCTAGCCCTGTTCCCTTGCCCCATACAACTCTATTTGCAGTGGTGGCTTCGAGCTCTGTGCCTCAAATGGCTCATACCTTTCACAGTCGTTCAACTTCTGTCCCCTCACAAATCTGTCTGAATGTACCCATTCTTCTAGGCCTGTCTCCCAGCTGCTGTGAAGCCCTCACGCTCCCTGCCTCCTCCTGGCACCACCAGCCTTCAGGTCCTGGTATTCCTACTGAATGAGATCCCTTCCCAATAACTCCCAGCTGCAAAAGGGCACTGACTTTAGTACAATCGAGGACAGCTTCTCCAGGCAGGGCTAGAAACTCATCTCAACCCAAACAACAAACCCCCACCCCAACCTTGTACAGATTTTAGGAGACAGACTCTCTAAGGGGCATCTTTGGTACTTTTCAAGGTTTAAGGGTGGATTCTGTTGGTGGAGGAGGAGCCAGGGTCAGGGCATACCTGGCACAGGCTCAAGGTGGGGGATGGGGGGATGCCGTGGCCATCTGGGTAGCTGTGGAGGGGGGTACAATTCTAGGGGTATGGCTAAGGATGGAAGTAAGGCTGATACTCATGGCTGGTGTTTCCGACTGAGCATGGTCTCAAGTCTGGCAGCTGCCTGGGGCGCCCACCTGCATCTCCACCTCAGTAGCCAGAAAAGTGAAGATCTCATGAAGCTCACGGATACTGCGTTCAAGCTGCTGGATCTCACTGTGCCTGGCCGAGATCTCATTTAGGGCTTGTCGAGTCACCTGCGTGTCCTTCAGTATCTAGGGGGTGGACAGGAGTGGGGGGAAAGTTTACATGGAGACCAGCAGCAGATCAGAAGTTCCTGGTGAGCTTCTGCGGCAGCCCTCTGGCCTACAACCCGATGAATGACTTCAGGAATGCTAATTAATTCCCTTCTGGGCCTCAGGATGCCCTTAATCAGAAAGGGTCGGGCCTCAGAGAAGATGGGAGGCACAGCAGAGGGAGGTTGGCTGTGACCACTCACATTGGACACAAACACTTCGCTCTGCCCGCTGTCCAGCATCTGTTCCAGCTCCTCGTCAGACACCATTCCAGCATTGGCTGTGAAGGGAAAGGCCAGGCTCAGAGCGGGGTCAGGGTTACCTGACCCCGTGGGCCGGGCACCACCACTCACTGATCTTCAGCTGCCTCCGGATCCGCTCCACATTCTTCTCCCGGTACTCGGACTGCATGGTGTTGCACTTGTTGATGAGCTCCACGAATTGCTGGGACAGGACCCCATGCTGAAGATGGAGAATGCAGGCTGGGCACCCCGGGGGGGCATCCCAGACCCATCTGGGCCTTGGCATCCCCATGGTATGGTAAGCAAATGGTATGAGCTGTTATGAGGCGCCTGCTGCCTTAACCGCCTTTTGATGACCTTGACAGGCTCCCCCATTTCTCTCAGAGTAAAAGCCAAAGCCCTTACCAGGGTCTACCTGGCCTCATGATCTGCTCCTTCACCCATCACCTCTCTGACCTTACCTCCTCCTCCTGACCATTCTTCCTGCCCTCCCTCCCTCCCTCCATCCACAGGGGTCTCCTCACTCCTCCAGACAGAGCCCACACTCCCATCTGGCCTCTGCATTCACTGCTCCTGCCTAGAACCCTCACTCCCCAGAAACACCTGTAAGTCTTTTGTTCAACTGTCACCTGAATGAAGCTTTCTCCACCTAATTTGAATTGCAACCCTACCCTCTCCCAGCACTTTCAATCCCTCTTCCCCTGTTTTTTCCTTAATACTAGTTGCATTCTAAAATAATTTACTTATGTATTATGGTGATTGTTTCTCCCCACCAGCATGTAAGTTCCACGAGGATATGGATCTTTGGTTAACTGCTGTACCCTGAACAGCTCCCCAAGGCACACAGTAGGCATCCAATGTGCATTTGCTGAATTCCGGCTGATGCCAACCTTGCTGCTTAGACTAGAAGTGTGCTCAATGCTAGTGATCAGCATTTTGCCCAGATGTAACAGGCCCACCTGTGCCCTTGACCTGAAACATCTGTTCTGGGGTATTTTGCCCTGCCTTTTCCCTTCTCCTGATGCCTTAAATGTGCTCATTTTGTGCAGTTACTTCTTTAAAGATATATCTGCTCTCCTGGATTCAGCTGTATGCGTTCAAGATGCCCAAGCTGCTCCACCTCCATTCCGGTGTCTTTGCTGAGCTCTGGGCCAACACTGACCTCCAAGAACCCCAAACCATTCCTCATTGGGCTCCCAGAGAGGTCTGTCAGCTCACCTCAAACTTCCTTACTAAGATGTCACCCCAGGGAAGTTCCTCATCAGTGTCACCCTCTTCCTTCTTTTTTCTCTGTTTCTTTTTGTGACAGAGTCTCACTCTGTTGCCTGGGCTAGAGTGTTATGGCATCAGCCTAACTCATAGCAACCTCAAATTTCCAGGTTCAAGCAATTCTCCTGCCTCAGCCTCCCAAGCAGCTGGGACTACAGGCACGTGCCACCACATCTGGCTAATTTTTTCTATTTTAGTTGCCTGGCTAATTTTTTTTTCTATTTTTAGTAGAGACTAAAATAGTCTCTTGCTCAGACTGATCTCGAACTCTTGAGCTCAAGCAATCCTCCTGCCTCAGCCTCCCAGAGTGCTAGGATTATAGGCATGAGCCACTGCACCCAGCCTCTTCCTGACTTCTTGAATTCTGCCTGTGGGGCTGAGAATGTCCCTGTCACATAGGCAGGAAACCTGCCAGTCATTTCTGACCTCTCCCTCTCCTTCCCTGGACAGAGCCATTAACCCACCAAGTCCTACATGAGTAATGTCACTGTCCCCTATTCAACCCTAACTCCCCATCTCAGCTCCTGGAAAGCATGTCTCCCACAGCCAAGTCTAGGTCATATCTGGGGACACAGCAACTTCTCATTGAACAGAGGAAAAGCAAGCAGGATGTTATAATGCATTGAGCATCAGGAGACCTGGGTTCTTGACCCTGAGTGAGTTCTTTTTCTCTCTGAACCTCAGTTTCCCCATTTGGCAAATCATCAGGTTGGACTTGATTTCTAAGGGCCCCTCCTTCGTTCATCTGCCATCTAATGATTTACAAAACACTTGCTGAAATGTCCTACTTCTGGAAAAAACAAACCCACCTGGGTTTTTCTCATTCTCATGTTGATGGAGTTATAATTCTCATCAGCTTCCTCCTTCTGGGGCTCTATGGCTGTGGGAAGACACAAAAGTATGGGGAGGGAGTGTTGACCTATGACTTCTGAAACTTATTTGGCGACCAGGACACAGGGCTAGAGCCATACCCCAGGCACACAATAGGGAGGTGCTTGTCTTCATAGGAGTAAGAGAAATATAATTTATCATAAAATGACTAATTCTGAGCCTCTGACAGGAGAAAATTTATTTTTCTTTGCATTACATTAGTGGATTCCCATATGCAGAGGTCTCCTAAGAAAACCCTCATCTGCCTGCCCAAAGAATGCACAGTGGGCAGCAAGAACTGTAGCAGTGGTTTTGTTGTAAATAAAGGAACTTGAGAGGCAGTCATGTGCTATGGAAAGTACAATGTACTGGAAGCCAGGAGACAGAGATTCTAGATTTAGGTGGGCTGTATGACCTGAATATATCACTGGCCACTTACTCCCCAGATATACCAGGAACAGGGCAGAATCAGAGGGAAGGCTCTTAGGTTCCAGGAGCTCACCCTTCAGCTGCATGCGAATCTCCCTCCCCAGCTGTTTGATCTCGTCGCGCAGGTTCTGCAGGTCCTGTTTCATGCCTGAATAAGAGCGAACGCCATGACTCCCCAAAAGAAGACTACCTCAACAAACCACCCTGGGCACCACCTGCATGAAACTACAACCCCCACAATCCCTCGGGCTGAGCATGCGTTCTGCTCCCGGGGTTTCACTCACTCTCCTCGGGAAGGGGCGTGGCCAGGATGGTGACCTGCTGCTTCTCCAACTCCTGGACTTTATTCTCCAGCTTGACAATTGTCTGCCGAATTGTCCGGACCTGGGGAGGGTGACCGAGAGAACTGAAAGAGATACGGAATACTCCAGACCGCGCTGCTCCTTGGCTCGTCCTGCCCCCTCGCGAATCCAGTCCAAGACCCCAGCCCCTTACCTTCTGGAAGAACTCATCGTCCGGACTCCCCAGCCGTGCCGTGCCTGGGTGCACCACCAGCGCGACCCGCTCCTTGTCCTCTTCGTCCGAGCTGTCATTCCCCTGCCAGGGACAGAGTCATTGACACAACTTCCTTGCTGCAGCTTTCGCCGGCAGCACCCATAGGCTTCCGGTACTTTCCTTCCTGGCCATCAGCCACCCCTCCCTGACCCGAAGACCAAGAGTCCTGCTTTTCAGTCCGTCCGCCGGTCCGCAACCCTGCTGCTCCGACTTCTCACCTGCCTCAGCTCGTGGGTCCTGTCCCGCATGGCGGCCTGAGCTCCCTCTCCCCGGCGCCTGAGCCCCGAGGGCCTCAAGGTTCTAAGTTTGGAATTACCGTATCCCACTCACACTCTTGACACTCCCCTCCCTCACCCTGAGGACCCCAACACCCCCACGAGCCGCCAGTGGCTCCGTCCCTTGTACCGCCCACAGTCAATGAGAAGTAGCAGACCGCGGGGACCCCCCAAGGTTCCACAGGTTGGAATTCCCTTTTCTTCCCCCCGCCCGCTCCCGTAGCCTCAGCCCCGCCCCTCTGGGATGATTAGGCGCATGCGCACCGGGGTGCGTCTCTTCCTCGCCTGAGGGAGAGGCGGAGGTTGATGGTCGGAAGCTGTTGCGCCCCGACCGGAAGCGAAGCTGCCTGGACATGAGAACCCGCCCCCTTTACCGGAACAGTCGCATCTTCCAACAACGGAAATCTGGTTGCCAAAAGGGGTTGGAAGGCGTCATTTGTACGTAATCTGAGAGACCCGCATCTCACATCACCCCATGGTGCCCCCCCCCGCCTCACGTGATCGGCCCGGTTCCAGCCTCGCGGACCGCAGAATGTGATGCTTTGTCACGTGTCCTGGCTCTGTCAACGCCGTCTCTGGGACACCCTTCTCTTCACGACGTCCTCAGCACCCTGACGTCCGAGCTACGCCCCCACAGCCCCCAGAAGGTGGCGAGGGGAGAGCCGACCACCCCGAGACCTTTTGAGGCAGGACCCTTGCTGAACTCGCCTTTATTTCTTTTCAGTCCAGGGGTGTGGGCAGACTAACAACTTAGAATTTAGGACTGTCAGCATCATGGGACCTTGAAAGTCAGGAAATAATAAGATCAGAGTCTTAAGCGTCGGAAAATTGCAGAGTTTTGCAGGCACGGAATCTGGGGGTGGGAAGTGACCTCACCCAAACCAGGAATCTCTTCTTCCGCATACTCCTGGCGCAGCCTCTGACAGGTGGGCGGCTGGCGCCCTCCTTGTACACTGCAGTCCCGCTGCACTCATCACCTTCTGAGCAGCGAGACCATTTAAGGGCAGCTGAGGCTGAGAACAGTGTCTGTATTATATTGAGCAGGTTGCTTCCCTTTCACTTACAGCCCCAACCCCTAACTTTCATCTGAGGTCAGGGCATGACTTTGTTCTTAACTGAATCCCCACCACCTAATTCAGAACCTAACACATAATGGGTCTTCTATAAATATTTGTGAACAAGAACAGTATTTTAGCCTTTTATATATCTGAAGACAAAGCTCATGGTTCCCTGGACTTCTGTAGGCTTCAGGCTCTCTCACTATGACACTTCCCTAACCCTAGCTCTCTAGACATTCATTCATTTAACAGATATTTATTGAACACGTATTATGGGCCAGACACTGTTCTAGGGGCTGGAGCTATATGAGAAATTTCTGCACTTGTTGAAGTTACATTCTATAGAAGTCCCCACCGTCACTCAGTGAGTCTCAGCATACCCAGGAATGAATATTAGGTCTCCAGGATCTTAAGGCTCTTTCCAGGAAGCTTATCAGAAGGTTCAAGCAAGGAAAGGAATGGTCCCTCTCTGGTACGCCCTGGTCAGGAAACCTAAATTCCTGTGACTGAGTTGCTGTTGACTTCTGGAAAGTCACTTCTTGTCTCTGGGCCATGATCTCCAGTCAGTACAGTGGGCAACAGCAGGAAGATGGGGAGATCATCTTTATGGGTGTTCCCTGCTCTAAAATTCAATGATTCCATTTCCATTTCCTTATAGGCAAAAATAAAAAAAAGACAGAAAGAAAATAAAAAATAAAATTCAATGATTATGAGGTTGGAAACTCAAGTGCTGTCCTGAGTGTGATCTTAAATAATTCACTGTTCCTCTGGGACTCAATTTCTCCTTTTGACAATGTGGTTAGGTAATTTCTGCCTTGCCTAAGGTAGGAATTGAACAATATCAGGTGGAGTTAGGAAGGACATGGAAGGTCTTGTAAACTGTTGAGGGTTCCCCCCTCTCTGGGGTTTTACTGTGGGCTCCAGCTCTCTCTGGGCCCACCAGTTCCATGTGCCTCTCTCTGGTTCTTAGCCTCTTGATGACTTGACTTCTTGTTCCCAGGCTGCAACCTGGAATTGTTAGTGCCTGTTAAACTTCTCAGGATTATGATATTCAGTGTTTCATTTGTGGTTTCTGGGTGGGATCACAGGGCTTTGGAATGGTGATTTAAGGTCACAGGAGGCTGGACTCAAAGCCTTGTGGTGGTGTGTAGAAGGGACAGAGGCCATTTGGAGAGACTGGCTCTAAGGATGGAGCTCTCCAGAGCTGAACCCTTTGTTCCTCCCAGGCTCTCTGAGCAGCCTTGAAGTGCATATTATATATATTGGACCTTGGGTATGTAAGTGTTGCAGGGATGGATATTCCCTTCAGTCTGTGTAGGTGTTGGGGGGGTTGTATATTTCTTAACACTACACTATGATCCAAGAAAAATACCAGCTAGGAGTGGCTCCCCACGTTCTACCCACCCCTGGGGACTTGAAGCCACCTGATGATGCCCTGCTTTGGATTATCTTGGGGGAGGAAGGAGTCGACTGCCTGCCTCACTGAACCCTCTCCCATGACAGGGTCTCCCTCCCATGCCTGCTGGGTTGGGGCTGACTGCTGGAGACATTGTTGGTCTTACCCTCCTCTACCTGTTCCTGAGGTTTAGCAACCTGTCCTGTCCCCTCTACCTGCAAGTCCAGTCCTACCACCATTGAAGCCAGATGGCCTGGGCTAGAATCTCAGTTTATTAACCTACTAACTCTATGAAGCAAATTACTTAACCTCTCTGTGCCTCAGTTCCCATTTGAAAAAATGGTAATAATAGTAGTATTAAACTCATAGGTTACTGTAAGAATTAAATGAGATGACATATGTAAAGTGAATAGAACAGTGCCAGGTATGGAAGAGTATATGTATTTGCTGCCATTATATAATGGTGATCATGATTGTTACTCTAAGTATTTCAGCAGCTGGTGTCTCTACCAGGGATTCCACTCTGCTGCTTGTCTAGGGTCTTCCTTCCCCCTTCCATCTCCTGAGCCCCACTGTGCACCAGGTCCTAGGCCAGTGGCCTTGCCAACTCATGCACATCTCTCATGCCTAACATGCCATATATTTTGTTTATTTATTTACATATCGTCTGTCATCACCACTCTCCCCCACCACTAGAATGTAAGTTCCATGAGGACCGTGATTTTCACCTGCCTTATTCACTGCTATGTCCCCAGCACTTAACAATAGTGCCTGGCACGTAGAAGCTGGTCGATAAATATTCATGAATGAATGAATTTATTTCTTTTTCATTTAATACTTATATAGCACTTATATGTGTTGGGCACTAATATAAGCACTTTAAAAATATTAACTCATTTAATCCTCATAACAGTTCTGTGATATTTGTACCATTACTGTCCTCATTTTACAGAGGAAGGAACTGAGGCACAGAGGAGTTAAGTAACTTGCCCAAGGTTACACACCTAGTAAATGACATATCCAGGATTTGAACCCAGATAATGGAGCTCCAGAGTCTTTACTCTTAACCCCTACACTGTGATCCAAGGAAAATACCAGCTAGGGGTGACTCCCTAGTTCCACCCACCATTGGGGACACCATTGCCACCTACTTATGCCTTGCTTTGGATTATCTGGGGGAAGGAGGCAGCAGACTGCCTGTCTGACTGAACCTTTTCCCATCCCTTGTCACAGGGTCTCTCTCCCACACATGCTGGGCTGGGGCTGACTGTTGGAGAGGCTGTTGGTCCTCCTCCTTTTCCCTGTTTGCTTTGTCCCCAGGAGTCAAGATATCCACATATATCTCACCTAAGGGCCTCAGTTCACCCTACAGACATCTCTGAGGCTGTTTCTGTGCCAAACGCCAAGAGCCATGGTGATACAGCCACCATAGTTCTCTCCCCATGAGCATGTTTTAGGCCTGAACTTGACCACTCCCTAGAGTTGCATCGGAGCCCCTCTCCTGTTCAAACTGTGTACATAGTCTTGTGGCTTTACTCACATCCAGATGCTGGCCTCCAAATGGATATCTTCAGCCCAAAATGTTCTCCTGAACTCTAGATCCCTGAATCCACTTGCCTCCTGGATATCCCCTCCTGGAGATCCATAGGCATTTTAAGCTCAGTGTGTCCCAAATAGGATGCATCACCTCCTCCTGAGAACCTCCTAAATCAGCTTCTGTTCCTCCTGTGTTTCCTCTCCATGTGGGTGACACTGGGTCACCCATGTCATAATTTTGGCCTTGAACTTTATTATAAAGGTGATGGATCATGCAATTTGTCTGGATAAAATTCATTAAAATGCTAGAAAAAATATATAGGCAAAATCCTTTATAACTCTTGGAGTGAGGAGGACTTTTCCAACTCCAACTCAGAATTCAGAAGATATAAAGAAAAGATTAATACATTTGTCTATACACAAAAATTCTGCATGGCAAAAAACATAAGTAAAATTATAAATAAAATCAAAAGACAACAACAAACTGGGAAAAAATATTTGCAATTCTTATGCAAAGAGCTAATCTCCCTACTATTTAAAGAGCTCCCACATATTGATAAGACAGATGAACAGTTCAATAAAAAATAGCCGAAGAACATGACCATTCACAAAAAAATACATAGAATGAGTAAATAGAATCATGAATAGAATTTTAGCTCACCACATTTGCATATGTATGAAATGATACATATATCCAATGTTATTCACTGGGTATTGTTTGCAATAATCATAAACTTGCCCATCATCAGGTACAAAGCTGTCAAAAAGAGTGAGCAACCTCACTACATATAAATATGAAATGTTCATTCGTTAAATATCAAGGTGCAGGCCAGGTGCAGTAGCTCACACCTGTAATCCCAGCACTTTGGGAGGCCAAGGCTGGAGGATCACTTGAGGCCAGGAGTTTGAGACTAACCTGGCTACAGAATGAGAGCCCGTCTCTACAAAATATAAAAAAATTAGCTGGGCATGGTGGCTTCAGCCTCTAGTCCCAGCTACTTGGGAGGCTGAGGAAGGAGGATTGCTTGAGCTCTGGTGTTAGAGGTTGTAGTGAGCTATGATCATGCCACTGCACTCTAGCCTGGGCAACGGAGTGAGACCCTGTCTCTAAAAAATACATATGTGTATATATTAAGGTGCAGATTAAGTGTACCACGTTTATTGTTGTATGTGAAAAAATGTGCGTGTGTGTGTGTGTGTGTGTGTGTATTTGCTATGTATCCTCATAATGAAATTCTGGGAAGTTATATAAGAAACTAATAAAAGTGGTTCCCTAGGGGTGGTTCTTGGGAACAAGGTAG